GGTAAAAAAAAAGAGAGAGGCAACAGCTGATCAACCCCTGCCACAGAGGCTGTGGATCAGACCCTGTCTCTCTCTCTCTCTGCAGGCCTCTCTCTGGGCCTGATCTGCAGCCCCCTCGGCAGTCAGTGCTGGGTGACTGCGCCACACCGGCTGCAGTCAGTGCTGGGTCGCCACAGCAACCCAGCACTGACTTCTGGTTTTCGGTGGAGCCTTGGTCATTGTGGATGTTACAGACCCTGGCTCTTTATATATATATATATATATGAGTTCATTTGAATCAGGGAGTCTTTCCACAGATTCATTGTGAAGAACCACAGTTATCAATACAAACTGCAGTACTTGAGAACACAAAGAAAATTAAAAACCATTTTCTTGCCCCGTCGGCATGGCTCAGTGGTTGAGTGTCTACCTATGAACCAAAAGGTCACTGTTCAATTCCAGGTCAGGACACATGGCCCAGTAGGGGCATGCAGGAGGTAGCTGATAGATGATGTTTCTCTCTCGTCGAAGTTCCTATCTCTCTATCCCTCTCCCTTCACCTCTCTCTAAAAATCAATAAAAACATATTTTAAAAAATCATTTTTTAATGGGTTAACTGATATCTGAGAGCAGAAAATATTTTCCCAGGGTCATACAAGTGTTAAAGTAGCAGAACCGGGACAAGAAGCTAAGTTCAGTAGAAAATATTGAGGAGCACCCCTGCTCCTGTTTCATTCACACAACCAATATTGAGTATCTACTTTGTTCCGGGCATAGTGCTAGGTATTGGGGACATATCTGAGAACAGGCAGATCTGTCTTCCTGGAAGCTTTCTAGGATGGCTGCTTCTTGACTGACTATAAAGCCACATCTGAAGTCCATTTGTACTAGAACCAAAATATCAGTGTTCACTTTACTGTAAAGCAGTGGTTCTCAACCCGTGGGTCGCGACCCCTTTGGGGGTCGAACGGCCCTTTCACAGGGGTCGCCTAAGACCATTGGAAAACACATATATAATTATATATTGTTTTGTGATTAATCACTATGCTTTAATTATGTTCAATTTGTAACAATGAAATGAGGGGTCACCACAACATGAGGAACTGTATTAAAGGGTCGTGGCATTAGAAAGGTTGAGAACCACTGCTGTAAAGAGTCCAAAGGACCTCATTTTGGTGACTGAATGACTTCCAGGTTTCCTTTACTTGCCACATCCTCTCAACAATGTACAAAGGACTAAGAGCCATTTATATTCCTCTTTGTTGTGAAATTTCCAAAAGTGTCCTCTCTTCTCTATCAATTGTATTATGGGGACACTAAAATAGAAGCAGCATCCTGTCAAGGGCATCAATGCCAACCATGGATTTTACCAAATTCACAGTACCTTTGAGCCCACATTTTCATTAGTTTAGAATGTGTAATGTTTGTTTCAGGAGGAAGAAAATAAACTAAAAACATGTTCCATCAAGTCAGACAGCTGTAAGTGACTGAACCTGGACCAGAAACCAGATCTTTTTTACTCTGCAGAGACCAAATGAGAAAATTTTTTTGCACGTGGGATGAAGACAAGCAGACATTTCCAAGATAATCATCAGAACTAATGGGTCATACATCCACAGATATTTATTGAGCCCTTGCTATGTAGCACATTTGTGCAAGGAGATGAATATGGAGTGATGAACCAGATAGACAGAGTCCTGACTCTCAGAATTTAAAAACAGTGACAGCCAATCTTAGGAACTTTACAAGGCTGACATTCTATCACTCCGCCTTCCAGCTGTGTATATTCTAGTGCACTATTTATTTCCAATTAGGGTTTTCAGGGTGCAGGGTAAATGAATCACTATTCTGTTCTGCCCTCTGAGCTAATTCTGAAAGTATCCCATATACCCTCATTTACAGATTTTCTAATTTCTGCCTACATTATTGAATGTTCTCAGAAAGCTAAGGAGAAAAGGAAGACCACAGCTTCCTGCCATCTTGACAGTATATGATTCCCAAAATGTATTCCCAACCTCTTACTGAGTTACAGTTCTAATATCCAGCTTTCTGCTTGCCATCTTCACATGTTTTTCATTTGTTCTCCTTGGTTCTGTGAATGACAGTCATCTATGCCCAAAGACTTGGCATCTTTTATTCTTCCCTTCCCCATGCTCCCCACCTCTAATTACTTGTCAAGTCTTCTCTATTCTACCTTTGAACTCTCTCTCCCATCTGTTTCCTCTTCTCTATCTCCAACATCTGAAGGGACTGTGATGGCTAATTCTGTATATCAACTTACTGGGCTAAGGATGCCCAGAGAGTTGATAAAACATTATTTCTGGACATGTCTATGAGAATGCTTTTGGAAGAGATTAGCATTTGAATCAATAGACTAAGTAAAGATCACCCTAGAAATGTTGATGGGCATTATCCAGTCTATGGAGGGCCTAAATAGAATAAAAAGGCAGAGGAAGGGCAATTTACTCTCTCTGACTAAGCTAAAACATTTATTGTCTTCTGTCCTTGCACATCTGCACTCCTGGTTCTCAGACCTTTGGACTTGGACTTGAACTTACACCATCAGCTTTTCTGGTTCTCAAGCCTACAGACTGTGACTGAATTATACCACTGGCTTTCCTGGATCTCCAGTTTACAGACAGCAGATTGTGGGACTTTTTGGTCTCCATATCACATGAGCCAATTCCTATAATAAATATCCATATATATGTTCTCTTTCTCAAGATAACCCTAATATGGGAACTAAGATTCAGACAGAACCAGTGAACTGTCCAAGATCACACTGTTCATAAACAGCAGAATTGGTGTTACAGCCAATGTATATCTGACATCAAAGTGCATAGTCATGCACTATGGCAAATATGACCCTTATTTACTCTCACTTGCCCAACTCCAATGGTTTTTAAACCTTATTTACTGTCTCTCTTCAGCCTTTACTACAAAATATTTCTGATTAATCTTCCTAAAGCACAGTTTTTACTAAAAGGTTTTATCATTGCTTTCTAAATCTTATCAGTTGCTTGGTATATTCCAAGATCAAAAACAAGATCAACATGGCTTAACCATAGTATTTGCAAGAATGTTTTCATCATCTTGGTGTTTCTTCTTGTGCCTGAGAAGTAATACTTACTTCTGTAGCACTCCTTAAATCATAATTTTTCTCTAGTTCCATAGATGTATATTATCTCTTCAACTAAAATGTAAACTCTTTTAGGTAAGGTACCATGGTTTACTTATTTCTTTTTCATTTAATTTATTGGGGTGACACTGGTTAACAAAATTCTACAGGTTTCGGGTGCACAATTCTATAGCACATCATCTGTACACTGTATTACATGTTCACTACCCCGAGTCAAGTCTCCATCAACATTTATATCCCCTATACCCTCCTCTACCTCCCCACCCCCTCACCCCTACAATCACCACATTTTGTTCATGTCCATGAATTATTTCTCTTTCTTTTCTTTTTTAATCAATGCCCTCCAACAGTCCCCACCCAGGTCCCTTCCCCAGACAGCTTTCAGCCTGCTTTCTATCTATTAGTCGGTCTCTATTTTCATTGTTAGTTCATTTTGTTCATTAGGTTCCTCATATAAGTGAGATCATATGGTACTTTTTTTTCTCTGACTGGCTTATTTCACTTAGCATAATGTTTTCCAGGTCCATCTATGCTAACAAAAAGGGTATGTTTTCCTTCTTTTTTATGGCTGAGTAGTGCCATGGTTTATATGTCTTCGTATGAACCTCCACAGTGTCTTGGCGGGGGGGGGGGGGGAAGAAATTTTAAAACACTGAAGAGAGAGTGATTAAGTAATATACAAAAGAACTACTTTTGTATTCCAGCTGTCCTGAAGGACTCTTGAGTATAGACCACACAGATGCTGCCCAAAACTTTCAAGTTGGAAAGCTTATAAGCACTTATTTAGCCATGCTGAGCATTCTATTTGTTCCTACTGACCCCATCTTTACTTTTTTCCACTGTCTTGTAAATTACCTATAATAAAATAAGTTTGGCATTGTTGTTTCTTGAAGGCAAGCACTAAGATTCACTCATCTCAGTGTTCACCCTCTCCCACAGCACCCAGTGTATTACTTTGCACATACTAGATGAATAAATGATTTTTAAATATATTTTTATTGATTTCAGAAGGAAGGGAGAGGGAGAGATAGAAACATCAATGATGAGAGAATCACTGATTGGCTGTCTCCTGCACGCCCCCTCCTGGGGATCGAGCCTGCAACCTGGGCATGTGCCCCCAACAGGAATCAAACCCTGGACCTTTCAATCCACAGGCCGACGCTCTATCCACTGAGCCAAACCGGCCAGAGCAATAAATGATTTTAAAATAAAGTATAATAACAGTAATAGGTTAAAAGAAGATATACCACAGTCCATGGACCTTCAGTTTGCACTGATTTATCATTCTGATTCTTCCAAATGGATCATATCCCAAATGGAATTCTTCATTGCCCCAAACCAGCCCCTCTGCTATCTCCCTTATCCTGTTTTTGGCATCAATGGCACAAAGAATCTTCCAGTACCCCAGACTGGATACTTTAGGGTCTCGTTAATGAAAGTAAAATGTACATGGCAATACATCAAGTTGAACTGTTCAGTAGACATTTGGAAACTAAGGCAGAGGTGGAATGGCTACTTTTAGCGATGAGGAAGGGTCTTGTCCTTCCTTTGAGACTGGAGAAAAGAATGATAAATATGAACAGAAGCAGATATTAGTTGAAGTGGGGAGAAGAGGATATGTAAGGGACTCGGTCTCATCAATGTAGAAGAGGTCATTGCTAAGGCTGGGAGTAGAGGCTTGAGGAGAGGAGGTCTCGAATAACTGGTTTCTGGAACTCCCTTGGGTATTGACAAGATTGAAATTCTGCAAGGATCCTGAATCAACCTGACATCCTTAAATAAAAGTCCCATTGTTTGCAGTTTTTGAAAAATGACTATAGGGGCTGACTAAATTAAAATTTTATCCTGGGCAATTTATGGGTATAAGATGAATGTGCTTTGGGTAGAGTGGCCCACTTACACAGGTCCCATTTATAGCATAGGTAGCACATAGCTCCTCTTATAAAAACAATAATTCTAGATACAGTGTGAGATTATTCTCCTTTGCAATTCTCCATTGCAGTATTAGGATGGAATAGAAATTCAACTCCAAATTGTTAGTCTTCTTTATCATTATTATTAATTAATTTTACTTGAAGAAATATGTCAGTACCCATATTTTTGTTCTTTTAACCTCTTACAAACTTTAGCTTTCTATAGATCATTTTTCACCTTCTTTTTTTAGGGATTTTATTATTTTTTTATTGGTTAAAGTATTACATATGTGTCCTTATTCCCCCCCCCCACCCCCACTCATGCCCTCACCGCCCTGGTGTCTGTGTCCCATTGGTTAGGCTTATATGCATGCATGCTTATTTTAAAGTAAAGACGCAGGGCTCTGGTGCGATTCCATCCTGCACAGATGCCATTTATCTCCATCTGCCTTCTCTCTCACTTAAGTGCATGCTACCACCCCATGGAAGATTCTATGGACATGGACATGAGCCTTCTGAGGCCCCAGAACTATCTTTTTGGTTGTGAACTAAAGGCCGACAAAGATTACAACTTTAAGGTGGATAATGATGAAAATAAGCACCAATTATCTTTACAAACAGTCAGTTTAGGGGCTGGTGCAAAGGATGAACTGCACATTGTTGAAGCAGAGGCAATGAATTACAAAGGCAGTCCAATTAAAGTAACACTGGCAACTTTGAAAACGTCTGTACAGCCAATGTTGTCCCTTGGTGGCTTTGAAATAACACCACCTGTAGTCTTACAGTTGAAGTGTGGTTCAGGGCCTGTGCATATTAGTAGACAGCACTTTGTAGCTGTGAAGGGAGTTGCAGAATCAGAAGATGAAGAGAAGGATGTGAAACTCCTAAGTATGTCTGGAAAGCATTCTACCCCTGGAGGTGGTAGCAAGGTTCCACAGAAAAAAGTAAAACTTGCTGCTGATGAAAATGATGAGGACGATGAGAAAGGATGATGATGACGATGATGATTTTGATGATGAGGAAGCCAAAGAAAAAGCTCCAGGAAAGAAATCCATATGAGATAGTCCAGCCAAAAATGCACAAAAATCAAACCAGAATGAAAAAAGACTCAAAACCATCAACACCAAGATCAAGAATCCTTAAAAAAAAAAAAAAAACAGGAAAAAAACCTAAAACACACTTTAGGACCTAGTTCTGTAGAAAACATTAAAGCAAAAATGCAAACAAATATAGAAAAGGATGGTTCTCTTCCCAAAGTGGAAGCCAAGTTCATTAATCATGACTGATGTGGAGGCTATTCAAGATCTCTGGCAGTGGAGGAAGTCTCTTTAAGAAAATAGTTTAAACAGTTTGTTAAAATTTTCCGTCTTATTTCATTTCTGTAACAGTTGCTATCTGGCTGTCCTTTTTATAATGCCAAGTGAGAACTTTCCCTACCATGTCTGATAAATGTTGTCCAGGTTCCATTGCCAAGTTGTATTGTCCAAAATTCCTGTTTAGTTTTTAAAGATGGAACTCCACCCTTTGCTTGGTTTTAAGTATGTATGGAATGTTATGATAGGACATAGTAGTAGTAGTGTTCAGATAAATGGGAATGGTGTGGAGACAACAATAAACATGTGAAATGAAACTCAGTATTTAAAAAAATAAAAATAAAGATGCAGAAAACCATACAAAACAAATGTAGAGCTTAGTGAATTATACGAATAATATCATTGTAACCACCATCCAGGCTAAAAAAAATAGCCACCCCAGAAGCTCTTCCAAATGCCCCCTCACTTCATCCAAATATAACCACTATCTTAACTTTTAGAGTAATTATTATTATTATTATTATTATTATTATTTCATCACCCAAGGG